CACCTAACCCTTAACTGTACCCCACAAAACCATAATAAAAAATACTGATTAATGAAAAAAAAAAAAAAAATAACCACAGTCGTACAATGGTAATTATTTGAAATGTACTATTGATTCATTCATTCCACAAACACTTAACTCAAACAGGAGGCTCTGGTGGGAAGGTGTCCAGACAGCCTTTTCGTATGAAGGTGGGAAGAAATGTCTGATACCTGGTAAGTATCATGAAGTTTTTCTGAAGTTTTAAAACTGTATCTATAAAATATATCGAAGCCAGGCTCAGTGGCTCAGCCTGTAATCCCGCGCTTTGGGAGGCTAAGGTAAGTGGATTGCCTGAGCCTGCAGGTTCGAGACCCGCCTGGGCAACTTGGCAAGACCTCATCTCTACAATAAATCAAACAATCAGCCGGGCGTGGTAGCGCGCGCCTGTAATTCTGGCTACTCGGAAGGTTGAGGCGGAAGGATCGCCGGAGCCCAGCAGGTCGAGGCTGCGGTGGCCAGGAATGGCCACTGCACTCCAGTCTGGGTGACGGAGTGAGACTCCAACTCAAGAAAAAGATAGATAGATAGATAGATAGATAGATAGATAGATAGATAGATAGATAGACAGACAGACAGATAGAGATATATATCGAACCCTTTCCTATAAAAGTTGAGGCAGAAATTTGCAAAAACATCCTCAGGGCATATAGTCTGCACTTAACTAAAACTGATGGTTTAGATTAAAGTTTACAAAGCTAGATTCCAGCAACACTTCCAGTGTCTTAATTTATTTTGGGAATCCCTCTTAAATAAATACACTGTTCATCTGGGAAAATAAGCCTTAATTTTACAGCTAGAACATACCAAGGTTAAACGTGTCTTAAATAAAAATAATTATTCTAAGTTTTTTCTTCCTATATAGGAGGAAAATTTCCTGATTTTTAAAAATGTCATAATACTGATTATTTAAACACTATATACATACACTTCAACACTATATATATAATATATACACACATATATATATGGTGTATATATAGAACTATGTCTTCACTAAAATAAGGAAATAATTTACTAATTATTCCATTTAGGAAACAAGAACATATGAACAAGCCCAATAAGTAAAACATACAACACTGAATGGAGAATGATGATACACTTTGTTTTGTAACCTTTTCAAAAAGGATATTGTTTCATTTTGAGTTTAGTTTATCTTTATTCTTATATTCATATATAATATAATATATATGTGTGTGTGTGTGTGTGTGTGTGTGTGTATATATATAAAGAAATTGTATCTGTGGCCAGATACAGTGGTGGAACAATCTAGTACCCACCAAAAGGGCAAATTCCACACTGCAGCCCTAGATACATATGAGCACAACATTTTGAGGCATTTGACAATAGACATTGTCAAATTTGCATATGCAATCCTTAGTTAAAAAAAAATAAAAAGTTACTTAAAGGAACCAATCCTGCCAATACCTTGACTTTTTGCCCAGTATTACTAATTTCAGACTTCTGGCCTCCAGAATTGTAAAAGAATAAATGTGTGTTGTTTTAAAGAACAAAAGGTTTAAAAATAAAATAAATTAAAAAACAGTTGGGCAACTCCTTTAGGTACCCTCCCATTGATGGAGCTTTTCTGTCCTCTCAACAAATCCTGCTTTCTCAAAAAAAAAAACCCAAAAACCCCAAAACACAAACACCAAAGTTACTAATCAATGTCAGCAGACACACCTTCATACCATTTTCTTTGTGATCTGTGACATAACACTTGTTTGAAAGCTGACTGAATTTATAGAGTGCATCTATGACTAGAAAAGATAATAAAATGAATTCATAAATACTTCATTCAAAAATCATGATGGTGAACTCCTATGAGCCAGGTATTGTGCTAGGTATTGAAGATATGAGGAAGAGTATCTTGTCTTTGAGTAGCATATATCATAGGGTAAGATTACTGCTTTAAAGAGGAGGCCATAGAAGGCCACTGAGATTAAAGAAAAAAATCTACTCTGTTTGAGAAGCAAACCTTTGATTGTAATTTCATAAAAATGTTATGCACAAAAAGAAAACATAAATGCAAACACACAGCAAACATAAATGAACAGTTCTCTTTGGGAAGGCAAGACAACTTCAGGAATGCAGGCAGTCCCTTTGGTGGAATGAAGTTTCTTCCGAGAGTCAGAGTCCTGGGCCTTTTCTTACAAGCAGCAAGAGTAAAATCAGACCAAGTTATTATTTGTATCTGCTTCTGGGCTTTTTCTTCTGGTGCAGAATTAAGGAAATCAAACAGAGTGAATTGTCAGATTACAGTAGTTTCTTCTGTATGTAACCTGAATTTACTTTCCCCAATTTTATTATTATTTTAACTTTCAATATATATGCTTGATAACATATGGTATGCTTTTTAATTTTAATTAACACTTTCTAAAAGATAGGCTACTAGCAGGGATATGACTTAGGGTTTTTTTTATTTAATGGAAAAGTAAGGCAGTAGAAAAGGTACCTACAAAATTTAAAATGCTATCATAATGCGAAATATTTTAGATGTGCATGTATTCATTCACTTACTCACCAATTCAACCAACATTGATTATTTGCTATGTGCCAGATACTGCATGTAGACATACCTTTGATTTATGTGCTTGGTGGATAATCTTTAGTTTATCTGAAAGAAAAAAAGCAAGTTTCCTTTTACACGGATTATCTCAAACTTCTTTTCAAATGATTAAAGTGAGATGACAATGGCAATGAAATTGAGAAATTTAACTTCTTGCCTTATGTTCAGACTCTCTTAAAATATGGTATATAGTAAAAGAAAAATTACTTTGGCAAATCATTAAAGTTGAACATAAAAGTACAGGGATCCTTTAAAGTTTGTGTCTTTGACATATACAGCTGTGTGCAACAACCTGATGTCAACTCAGCATATTTATCTTAGACTAGAAGACAAATGCATCAAATTACTCTATCCTGTTTTTTGGAGTCAATACAGGAGAGGATTAGCAAATAATGTATTTAAAAATGTCTTAGACAGACATTAACAAAAGAAATTTTTAAAAGTCGACTCATTTCTCAGACTAGATATGATGACAAGAGGTCAAATGATGATACCACTCTCAGAATTCAAACACTGTGTCTAGGATCGCTTGTAATCTGAGCATGGATGCTAATGCCCAGAGAATGTCAATGTCTGCCTGCTGGTTAGCAAAGACTGCACAGGCTCACACCATCTAATCTGCTCTATTCAAGCCCAACTTCACTCCTTAATCTGTTTATCTTGAAGTCAGGTTACCCTGTGCCTTTCCAATAAGTAATTGCTCCACACGTGGATAAAATTCTAACTCTACAACAATCAGCCCTTAATTATATAATAGATGCAGCCATCATCAGGCTGAAATTCAGAAAGCTTCCAATTCTTCACTAATTTTTATTTAACCATATAATTATTGCATTATGACTACAATGCGTTATTATATCTGAATAGACTCTCAGCCTTAAACTACAATTCATTTCTATCAACCAGCGTGTACCGAGGAATTCCAACAGTGACATGAAATGAAACCATCTATTTTAAAGACAGACCTTGACTTAACTATGTCCTCATAACACTGAAGCATAGTGTACCTCTCCAGTTAAGCACTAGCATTCTGAATTACTTATTATAAATAATCAACTTTCAATTATCTGCCACAGTTTTTAATACGAGGCCGGCATACTCCTTGGACCATAACCCTATATTCTTAAGAAATAAAAATAAATCTAACTTAAGTAAAATGTGCGTATTAGGAATGTAAATATGCCACAATTGCTAAAAAAAAAAAATAAGCTTATAATATACGTAAGAAAATAAACAAATGTGACTTTCAGATTATTATTCTGAGTTACCTATCATACCCTTTTTCTCACTACAAATAGATTTCAGTTTATTATTTGAGACAAGTTAGAGGAGCCAATAGTAATTAATAACAGGAGCTCAAGGTTACAATCAACTCACAAAACTATAGTCTGACTTTACTAAAAATTAATCATCTTCTATATATTTTGTTAATGAGCCTTTAAATTAGAACTATTGTTGCTCTAATAGGTTTGACAATCCCACAATAAAAAGGATCATTTTTCAGCAGAAAAATAACTGTTCTGAAGAGAAATTTTTGCCAGATTTGTCTCTCCAACAGAGAGACCAGAAAAGTAGGTAAGAAAGAAAAAATGACAAGCTAGCAAAAAACGTATTAATGTCCCTTTTTTGGTTAACAAGCCACTTCACTTGTTCTTACTGCCTTAAAAAACAAAATCCTCATTATTAACACAAACAACATCTGTGGGTATCATTTCCTTAATGCAAATTCCTTGAGGAAAGTAACCTCAAAAATAAAAAATAACATGTTTGTGGAGTATCTCACACAATCTTACAAAAAAGTCAGGGATGGGCAGCCCACACTGTACAACCACCAAATTTTTGTGTGCCTGCATGCACAATGTCTAGGCAATAAGGATTTAAAAATAAGTAGCATGGGTGATAAATCAATAACAGACGTAGACACCAATTAAATGGGATGAGGGACTCTGAGAAATCTCAGACTCTGGGGAGAACCAGCCCTTCAGCCAAGGTCAGGGAGAGACAGTAACTGGCAAAACTGAAATCTGATTCCACACCCTTTCTACTCCATAACACCCAACAGAATGTTCTATCCCCACAGACCCTGAGGTGGCAATACTAGATGACAGTGAGAGGTGAAAAAGTAACACTTCGGCCTTTTTTGTTCAACACAAGCAACAGATTGTTAAAGAGCCAAGCTCAGACAAAGAACCACTTGAAGTCTATCAAAGCTCCAGTGGTTCTATAATTTCTTCACAGATAAATGTCTTCATTTTTTCTGTCAATTCATCTGAATAGTATAGAAATACTAGGATAAAAGGGTGCTAATAAGATGGACTAACCAAAAAGATACATTATCTAGCACAATAATGTCTAGCAACTCAGATATTCTAATGCTTTCATTATCTAAAATTCATCTTTCAAAATAAGTTACATGGAACACAGTTTGGATACAGACATACACAGACATGCATGCATGCATATACACACACCACACAAAAAGAGAAACCATAATGTAACATTCTAATTGGAAATGGCATCTGTAGGTTGATTCTGGTTTCAGACTATATTTCAAGGCATTATACTTTGAAAGCATGAAAGTCACAATGAAGAAGTTTCACATTTACCTTAACCATGCTTTTTATTCCTTTCTCTTATTCAACACTGAGCATGTAAATTCTTTAAGTACAATAAATCAAAGTACTTTCCACTTAGTGCCTTCAATGTCTGCTTGACCACCCCTTATAACTTCACAATTAGTCTCTGGATATTAAAATGCGTAGCACAGGGAAGATTGTGATTTCAAAGGATTTTAGGTCATAAGTTGCTCTATCAAATGGGAACAGAATGAAAGGCCACTCCAAAAAATAATTTAAGGTCATAAAAAATTTATACTTGAAAGTGTCTACACCAATTAACAGAAATATTTATTAGGTGCATCATAACTTTCAAATGAAGTCTTAAATTCAAAGTCTGGTGAGTGTCCCTACGCTGAAGGTTAATAACTATACAGTCTTTATACCAAATTATGACACCCAGCTTCTTCCCTTACCACGACATTGTTAACTCACCAATTGTAACATATGAAGCTATTATATAACATGCTCAAGTTAGTGGCATTTAAAATGTTAAAGTTCTTCTTTTAATTCTTAATCTTCAGTCGTTTTTCCTTTTCTGACTGCCTGGCAAAGAAAATCATTTCAGACGTAGTTTCACCAAACATACTGTCCCTCACAAATATGACACTTCCCTGCTGTTACAACCAACAGTAGTATATTCTAGGATTCTTATATTTCTAAATAAACTTCCAAGCCAGCTCTTATTTACAGATAGTAAATTCATTTTCAAAAACCAAATTTAAATTTGTATCAACAAAAAATTAATACAAAATTATATTAATAAATATTTTTAAAGAATAAGAAAAATTGGTTACCATATTTATAATTTCTGAATGGTGGTGGCAGGCTGGTCCTTAAAGGGACATCTACAAGAGAAAGATTATTTTTACTGTAACATATGCAACATAGTATATGCATAATCTTTTTGTTCTGTTCTATATCTACAGACTAAGTTAATTTTTTTTTTTTTTTTTTTGAGTTGGAGTCTCACTCTGTCGCCCAGACTGGAGTGCAGTGGCCGCTCCCGACCACCGCAGCCTCGACCTGCTGGGCTCCGGCGATCCTTCCGCCTCAGCCTTCCATGTAGCTGGAACGACAGGCGCGTGCTACCACGCCCGGCTGATTTTTTGATTTATTGTAGAGATGAGGTCTCGCCTGCCCAGGCGGGTCTCGAACCCACGGGCTTAGGCAATCCACTCACCTCAGCCTCCCAGAGGCGCGGGATTACAGGCTGAGCCACCAAGCCCGGCTAGACTAAGTTACTTTGACAAAACGGATAGAACAAGTTACTTTGACAAAACGGATAGAACACAGAATGAAGTCAACACACCACCAAAATCAAAGGGTCATCTAAAACAATGCAGTCATCACCAAGAGGTTTACCTGTTATTAGCTAAACTAAGAAGTCAGTAAAACACACACAGAGAAACACATAGACACATACACACACACAAAGAATTCAGTCACACTATTAAAAGAACTGGTATTTATTAAATATAACAGTATTTATGTATATTTGAAATATATACTCATATATGTGTGAGACATTATCTCTATATAGTTGATGTTTGTTAAGCATATGAATCTGAAAACCCTTAATGGTCTTTGGCCATTTGTGGAAATCAATGATCTAGAACAATCTTATTATTCCTACCAAAGTTCAGATCCCACAAAATAACTCCTCTAATTCTTCAAAGAAGACAAAACAAATACTCTCTTTAAAAAATACTCCAAATACCGGTATTAATTAATAAGATCTGATGGTACAAACCCTATAGAGGGCAGTTTGGAAATATATGTCAAAATTACATATGCATATTCTACTTGACCTAGCCATGCTACTAGAGTATATCACAGAGATATACACTGCACATGTGAAATAACATATACTCAAGGGCACTAACTCAGCACTGTTCACAGTAGCAAATGCTTAGAAAACCCAAATGTTCTTCAAGGAGGTACTTGTTAAATAAATCATAATATGCCCAAACAATAAAAAGTATTTTCCAGGCAACCTCTTTGGGTCCCCTCCCACTGTGGGAGCTTTTCTGTCCTCTTAGTAAATCCTGCTTTCTCAAAAAAAGAAAAAGAAAACCAAGTATTTTTCAACTAAAGAAAAAAGAGGAAGGAAGTCCTTTACTATATAAAATCTTCAAGATATATGAAGAGGTATAAGGAGAACACTTTTAGGAAGCCACCTTTTGAGTAAAAGGGGGTAAACTAAGAATGTATGGTTGTATTTGCTTGAACTAGCATGGGGGGGCATGGTGCACTGATCAGGCAGGGAACAGAAGTGAAGGAAACTTTTCATTTGCGTTCCTTTTTATATTTTGATCTTAAATATGAATGTGTTATCTACTAAATACATGACTATGCTATCTACTAAAGACAAACGAACAAAGAAAGCTCACACAACTGAATAGGAATGTATTTTTTAAAATTAAATCTGCCTTTCCAAGGTCAAGTATATACAATTTTTCTTTTCTTTTTGCTGGCAAGGATGTAGAGCAATAAAATACAATTTATTCATTTATGTTGCAAGCATTCAAAGTACCCACCACCGGGTATTCTAGAAACAGGATCAAAAAGCAGTTATGGAGAGAAGCTACCCCTCCTGAGAGCATGCACTGGAGGGGCAAATGCTGTAGCAAAGGCATGTTTACAGTCAGTGCTATCTATAGCCTTGCCTTGACTGCACATTATAATCACCCAGCCTAGCAGGGTGTGGTGGCACACGCCTTTAGTTCCAGCTACTTGGAAGGCTGAGGCGAAGGATCGCCTGAGCCCAGAGGGTCGAGGCTGCAGTGGCTGTAAGTATGTCACTGAGCTTCAGTCTGGGCGACGGTGTGAGACTCCAACTCAAAAAAACAAAATAAATTCACCCAGCCTAGCACAAGTGCACCAGATTCACAGCAGGCTGGTCCCAGGCACAGATATTTAAACACATCACACACACACCCCTGAAATGATTCTTAGTCAAACAAATTCACACGGAGCCAGACAGGCAACGACAGGTGAGCGAAACAGCTCAAAGCGTAGGAGCTTTGAGATCCGAGGCATGCGCCCACCAAAGGGGCTCTGCCACTCAGTGCTGACTGACCACAGGGCAGTAGCAACATAGGCTTGGAGTGGCCATACCTAAAGATTTACATGGCAATGTTAAAAAATCTAGGGTTTTAGGTGAAATTTCTTGACTTTTAAAGCACTACAGACCAAAGGAAACTTCTCTTGGCGGCAGGGTTCACATGCCAGACACCAATTTGAAACTTGTCTGACTTAGGTTTGCCAAGGCAAATACACTTCATTTTATCCTTCTTGCTTTCACTTGCTTATGAATTATGCGCTAAACAAGTATCAGAAAGGAACACTAAATCCATTTCATGTATTGCCATTGTCTTATTTTCTGAGTTAGACAATGAGCCCACCTGAAGAAAGGCATGAGGTGAAGGACAGATGGCCCCATGAAGCTATTAGCATTTAAAGATGCCTATAATGGAAGCAATCGAATCAGCATTACATGCAATCTAGATTTCTGAGAGACGAGACAACCACCAAGACACACACGAGTACCTTTTCTCTTCCTGTCTATAGATCCCAACTGAAATGCCACCTCCTCTGACAACCCTGCCTAAAAGAGGGGTCTCTCTAATGTTGTTTCCTTCATAACATGTTTTACAATTACACTTTCATCTGTTTATTTTTGTCTCTATTCTCTACAAATTCATAAATACTTTGAGATGAAGACATTATGGGCTGTCTTCTCAAAACCTAGAACAGTGTCCAGTACATAACAGATGAACAAATACTAGTTCATTGAGGGCAGGGACCACAGCTTGTTTTTTTCATTGTGTTGTCAGCATCTGAAATCCTGTCTGGCACATGACATGTGCTCAAAACAACTCATGAATGAATACATATCATTTAATCCCTTCAACCGACAGTTGTGAACTCCGAAGCCCCAAGAAGGTGATAGGTCAGCCCAAGGTGGCAAGAGGTAGAACTAGAACCCACTCTTCTCAACTCCTATTCAGTGACACTGAGAAGGCTGGGACTCAAAGCCGTTATCTTCCACAGAGAGAAAAACAGATCAGACTTTAGACATATTATGGAGAGACAAGAACGTTAGAAGAAATACACAGAAGATGCCTGAAAGGGAAGAGAAAAAGGACACCTTCCTTATGCAAAAGGCCGTTTCCCAGTTTATACTGTTACAAATACATCTGGGAGCATTCATAAGTGGATATTTACTTTCATTTCTCGCAGACGTGTCGTTTCATTCTACCTGGATGGCATGGTAGGAATATGTTTTGCTTTTTTTCAGAAATTGCCAAATCATCTAAGTGGTCATGCCTATTCATATTCCTACTAGTAGTATGTGAGAGTTCCAGCTCTCCACATGCTAGTCAAAACTTGGTATGGGCAGTCCTTTCAATTAGCCATTCTATGGGTGTGTTGTACTCTCGTTGTGGTTTTAATTTCCATTTCACTAAAGATTAATGATGAGCATTAATAAGTTATTTTGGCCACTTTCAATTGGATTGTGTTATTAGTGAGTTGCAAGAGGTTTTTGAGTTTTCGGAGCTTTTCTTTTGGGGTCAGGGACTCACTGTGTACCCCAAAAGAAAAGTGCGGTGGCACAATCAAGGCTCACCACAGCCTCAGCCTCCTGGGCTCAGGCAATCCTCCTACCTCAGCCTCCCAAATACCTAGGACTACAAGGACACACCACTATGCCTGGCTAATTTTTTTGCAGACAAAAGGTCTCACTGTGTTGCCTAGGCTGGTCTTGAGCTCCTGGGCTCAAGCAATCCTCCCACCTCGGCCTTCCAAAGTGCTGGGATTATGGGCATGAGCCACTGTACCCAGCCAGGTTTTGTTTTCTTAATTCTTATTATAATAGGTAGAAGTTCCTTGGTTGGATCTATGTGTTACAAATATTTTCATTGTGGTTTGTCTTTTTATTTTCTCAACAGTATATTTTGAAAAGCAAAGTTTTTAATTTTGGAAGCCCAACTGATTTTTTTGGGTGGTTTGTGCTTATTGTTCTATATTTAAGACATTTTTACCAAAATTAAGGTCTCTAAGATTTTTCCCTATGTCTCTCCCTAAATGTTTTACAGTTTCATGTTTTACATTTAGGTCTTAGCCAATGTTGAATTATTTTTTGCATAGGAAGTAAGAGTTGAGGTTCATTTATTCGCATATGGCTATCAAATGGTCCCAATACCTTGTTTGGAAAGATTACTCTTTCCCCAAAAATACCTTGATCAAAAATCAGTTGAACACATGTGTGTCTATTTCTGGCCTCTGCTTCCGGTGACATGTATACCAATCTATACACCAATACCACACATGCTGTATTGATTACCATAGCTTTATATTAGTAAGTCATGAAATCAAGTAGTATAATTCCTTCAACTTTGTTTTCTTCTTTTTGTAAGTTGTTATGACTATTCTAGGTCTTTTGCCTTTCCTTACAAATTGTAGAGTAAATGTGACATTATCTGAAAGGGAAAAAAAAAGTCTGCTGAGATTTTTTATTGGGATTGGAATATATACAACAATTTGAGGAGACACAGCATCTTAACAGTACTGAGTTTTCTGATCCATGAACACAGTACATCTCTCCATTTACTTAGATCTTTTAAATTTTTTCTCAGTGATGTTTAGCATTTCAGTGTAAAAGTCTTACACCACTACCACATGTATTCTATTTCATGTTTTTTTGATGCTGTTATAATTTTTTTTCAGTTTCCAACCACATATTGCTATTAACTAGAAATACTATTGACTCTTATATACGATCTTATATTCTACAACCTTGCTAAGCTCAGCTTATTAGTTCTGGTAGCATTTGTATAGATTT